TCATATAATTTTATTTTATGGGCGTAGCACCTCTCAATTTTATGTGAAAATTTGGTATATAACATTTTTTTCTGAAATTGGATGATTGTTGAGTTTGGTTAAAATCTGTGGTTTATTTAATATTAAAAAATGTTTTTCAATCCCATATACCAAATATTAGAATTACCGTTCCTTATATCACTTATGTTTGTTAATTCGAATAATTAAAAAAAAACCACTTAACGTTTAACCATTTGTATTGAATGCACTCTCTTTTTCATCCTAATTGGTAGATTTATGGCTTTTCACTTGTTAAAAAAATTAAAAATCAAAACAGATAAGAGGATGTATGTGTCTACTTACTATTCTACTCGGGTATTTCCAGACCAACATGCAATAATAATTTCCAAATTTCAAATGACATGTTCATGCGAAACAAACAGAGATCAAATCATTTGAAGCGAAGACGAACGACTGAGAGTTGATTGGGTACATGTCCCCACAGAGGGGAATACCAGTCATAAACGGAATGAAAACAAGGGTAGTTCGACACACACACAAACACAATAATTGTAAACACACCATAACATACAGACACACACACACAGAACAGAAAGCTGTTGAAATTTTGCTAATTGTCAAGGCAATTGTAACCAAATAGTTTTACTCAGTTTGTTTTACACACGTAAATATATATCTGCTCTCAACACAAACACACCAACACAAAGTGAAAGGTAAATGCATATGTTTTATGAAAATTTATGATTTAGGTGTAGAATAATGTCAGAGTTTTAATGAGTTGCGTAGAACCATAAAGGCAGCGCCTTTCATTTCGCCATTTCGCCCAAATGAGAGTGCAACAAATGCGTGCTGTGAAATTAGCAAAATAATGAGGTCATTACAAAGTTTGGACGTTGGAGAATGTGGTGGTAATGAGAGAGGCAGAACTAAACAAGAAATTTAATGGTTTCTGCCACAAAAAGTGCCGCCAGCTACGAGGCAGGCTTACTACAAAAATGATAAGTGGAGTGACTACAAACTGATTTCACTGTTTCCTTTCACCATATTTTTTTCGTACCTTTTTTCTTTTTATCTTGTGGCACGCGCAATTTTACGTTGTAAAAAACCCTTACTTTCTCTTCTCTTTCATATAATGGCTTTTGTATAGTACATACATACTGATAAATATCCTTTCATACCTACACACACACATAACAATATATGTGTGCAATTATAAAAAACACTTTCATATTCGGGTATATTCATTGTTTTCGGACATTTCATGTGTTAATTATGAAGCTGAAATGCTTTCGCCTTAGGCGCATGCTAATATAATTATTTTGCTCATCCCTTTTTTTCTAAGGAGTTTAATGGACTTTACGTGCGTTTCAAACATAAATATCATTTCATGTGAGCAAACACAGATGTACATGCATGCGTTTCTGAAGGTCATATATAATATATATTACAGGCGATTTTACGCACATCCAAACAGATGCAGAAACGTTTTATACTGATATTTGTGTTCTTAAATGCATTTAAATTATTTTGAATATATAATTTACACAGAAATGAAATAAAATATAAAAATAAATTCAATTAAATAAAAATAAATAAATATATCAACTTAAAATCAATCCCATCATTGATATGGATCACCTCTTTTCCAAAAGTGTACGAAACTGGTTCATTTCATTATCTAGCGCCCATATAAAAAATATGAGGATCCCCGACTTTCCAGTTGCCTTTATATCTAATATTTTAAACAGCATCTAAGATATCTTGTTGTGTTAAGATGGGAATGTTAAGTCTAGAAACTCTGATTTAATACCAAAAGTGAATGGAAACGATATTTAGTTTAGTCTAAGACTAAGACTCTAAAGGATGTGACTATAGCGTGTGTATTTCAGATAATAAGAAAAAAACCTTTTGCTATAACACTTTTAATTCAAAATTTTTACAGACGTATTGAAATATTTTACATCTCTCTAATGCTTCCGATTGAAGAGAGTATTCAATGTTCGGTTCTGACCGAAATTATGTATCCCTTCTTTTCTTTATTCAATTTATTATTATTTTTGCTTTAAATTTTGCCTCAGGTATCATATCTCAAAAATGGCTTATCATGGGGCTTTATTAATATCAAATATTTATGTGTATGTAAAGCGGATGGCAAAGGTATAAATTTGCCTTATCATGCAAAATGTCGGTTCAATTATGTAAGCAATATTTTCAAAGTGGAATCACCTGTCGAAAAACGCTCCCATAAATTGTACCGTCGAATAATAAATTCAATGGATTTATTGTTGTATTTTCATAGCAAGCTCCGAGCAATATTTACCACACACACATTCGCACTTTTCATTACTCAATAACTGTTACTGTAAAATTGTTGTCGTAGATTTGACAATCGGCGAATAACTGTATACGAATGACTCGTCCCTTTCCGCTTGCAATCGAAGCCACTACTAAAGTCCACCAGTGTTGCCACACGTTTATATATGTAAGTATGTATGTGTAAAGGTATGTAGTGGCGAAAAGTGTGCGTTGCTTTGTGTTAAAGCCAAGATGTTGGCGAGTTCTTGCGAAAGCTTTTGCTATCGACATTTTTCTTCGGTGATAATCAACACACACCCATACGCACATAACTGTATGTTAACATACGACACACGTTCGTCGCCACACTTTATGAGTCCTGCGGGTAAATATCTATTTAGCAGATGGAGATGTGTGTGTGTGGCATCGGAGCAAACGTGCAACACATGAGAAAACAAGAAATTATAAGCATGTTTGTATATATTTATGTGTATTGGTTGTTATGCGCTGGCTTAGGAATTTGGTCGCGCTGGAGCCCTTCTTAGTCAGTCAGACAACTTGCTGATCCACTGCCCGAGTCTTAACATATTTAAATACATGTGTGGTTACATTTGCATTCGCATATTAATATACATACATACATAGACACAACAATGGCGTGTGGGCGATTTATGCGTGTTCATGCCGCTGCTTAACATGCACGTTCCATGTTCATGTTCTCCCCACCTCCCACTCTCGCCCGTGTATGTGTGTACAGTTGCAGCTTGCCAGTTACAGTCCCACTCTGCTCTGTTTATGAAATGTACCATTTTTTTGTCTGATTTGAATGTAATTTTCTCTGTTACACTTTATATTGTGTGTGCCTGTATGGCTGCGTGTGTGTGTGTGTACTGTATGTTCTTCATCACTGGGCTTTATTTCCTCATATTTCGCGCTTTGTACTGCCGACCTTTCTTTTATCGGTTGCCTTCGCTCGGGGGGAGGTTGGCTTAACCTCTTTTACCCTGACGGATTCGTTGCATTTTCTGATTTTTGTTAGCAATTTTTGCTTCTATATTATCCTTTTCAACAGCGGTGTGTTATCTTTCAATTTCCATAAGTTAAATTTGTGTTTGCTCGTGTTTCTATTGTCATCCAACCATGACAGGAATGTGATGTTTTGATTTATTTTTATTATGTTATCAGCTTTGCTGAGAACTACAGCATATGTAACACTATAATTTGAACAAGATTACAATTAAATAACAATAAAATTCCAAAAAAAAGGGGAAATGATTAGTTTGCCTTATCATCACTATCATTTGTATTGCCCTGTTTGAGCACTAGGAGTTAATTTGTTCGGATTACAAAAATCATTTTGAAAGTCACTTGGTTCATTTGTGGTATATTCGTTCTGTTTTTGTGATTTTGATTTCAAAAAGTTGCAATTAGACTTCTGTAATAAGAATCCAACGCTTGAAAGTAGCTAAAAATGAGGTTTTCTATATCAAATCAGCAAAAATTGGTTCCAACATATCCGTAATAATAATTGCATATGACGAATTTTAACGAACTCGAGGTTAAATTCAGTCGGAGGCAGAAATCTCTATTAAATCTCGTAACAAAAACATTAACATCTTTTTTTATTTGCTGGTAGGTTTCCTTTGATTTTCATCTTCTCCTTTGCTCAAAGCCTTTAAATTGAAAACAGAAAGTAAGAGACAAATTTTTATTTTTGTATTATTATTACGTGAGGTTGATTACGCTGTGGGCTGAGTAAATTCTAACAGCAAAATTGCATGCATGGTTGCCGCATAGCGAATTTTATATTTATTCAATATCATTCAAGATTGAGTACACAAATTCATCAAAATTTCATATTTCAAAGTAAATTCAGAAACACTAAGAAAATGATTTTGATTGAAAGATCTAACTAAATCACATAATTTTCCGGAATGCTGGTTTCATGTTTCATTATCATCACGGCGAACAGATATAGTTTTTCTCTTTTTTTTGTTTTCTCTGGAATATTTGCATATTTAATTCCATCTATAGTCGTTGCTAATTAAAAATTCAAAATATAATATATTCGCGCAAAAACAAAAACAATTGCCAACACAGTGTTTGAACCCGCAAAGAGCCACAACAGCTAATGCCGCAGGATTGTGTGCCACACAGGAGCTCCAATAGCCGGGCACTCAGGTGAATACATACCATGAAACAATGCGCTGCGCTTAAAGTAGCGGTAATTAGAAAATATTTCACCGCAAAGTGTGCCGCGGCACGCAGCCCTTTCAGCTTTTGTGCAACATGCATCGTGTAACGTGCAATATGTTTGCCCTGCATTTGCTTGATTGGCACTAAAGTCGCGCGCATATTAGAAAGCCGTCAAAGCAAAAAGCAAAAATGCAAAAGAATGCAACAACAATGCGTCGTTTTATAAAAAAAATCAGGAAATGAGAAACGGAAAATAAAACTAATGTTTGCATAATTGAGCTCCCTTGGCGAACTGTCGGAATTGGGTCACACGCACATGGATGCAATTCGGCTTGCAACACTGCTAATGCTACAGCGCCTTAATTAAAAAACTACCGCACAATTTTTACACAACGATAAAATTTTTTTTAATTTTTGGAAGACTTTAAACCAACTCAACGAAGAAGTGCAAGTTTTTCGATATTTATTTTTTACAGTTCAATTGTCAATTCAATAATGCGAAACAACATTTAACACGACTTGACAACCGTGCCGTTGATCTCGTAGTGGCATAATTGCTCCAAAGTCTTGTCCGGCCGCTGATCATAGATCGTGCCGATCAGCGTGTAGATCGTGTTGGGCCAGTACATGAACTTCAGCATGCTGGTGTCGGGGGGCACGTGGACGTTTTTGAAGACATACGTGCCCAGAGACAAAGGGCAATCTAGGCTCATGTTGCCACCACTCTTGGAGAGCAGCTGCTGTGCAACATTGTTGAAGACCCGTATACGCTTCACATACTTCCAAAATTCACACGTCTTATAGGTGGCGTTGTAGAGCGACTTCGCTGGTTCGATTTTGCCCAGCTGATTGCGTTTGGTGTTCAGTTGGAGCAGCTGGACGTGCCAGGTCGGCGTTGCGACTGCTTTCAGGACGTACGTCGCCGCGGATAAAGTCATATTTTTCTGCCAGCTCATGACGAGTCGGTAATCGGGCGTGTCGGTGCTGCGGAAGCTGAGGATTTTCAGCTGGTAACAGTACTGTGGAGAGATAAAATGAAATTTGCCCTCCGATAGTACAAGAAAAATTGTGTATAATTAAAAGCCGATTACCTGCCACGAGTAGCCGAAAAGCATACAACAGATGAAAAAATACAGCATGTTGCATTGTAATTGTTGGGTCATTTATTCCGACGATACTATGTACTATATTATTGGAATTTTCCCATTCACCACTTTAGCAAATGCCCTGCAATACCATTTGCCAGTAGTAATTTTACATTTGTTCAAGTCATAGCCCACCTGACAGACAGACAAGCCTCTTCGTTGGAGCTCGTTGCGCTCCGAAATTACTTGCCCTAATGACTTTTAAATTACATGGCTGAGTTGATGAGTGGTTTACTAATTGTTCCCAATCGTTTTGTCATTTCAATAAAACAACAACATCAATAAATGAAAATTAAAAAAAAAAATATTTTAATTTTTTTGGTCTACAATTCAATTGAGATTATCTCCGAATACATTCGTCATTAATCAATTTTCAATAATTTTTTCATAAAAACGAGTTCCGTTTTACCACAAACCACATTTTGCCTACAGGGCGGAAATGAAAATAATGATGTTGAATTCAACTGACCTTAATAGTTGCCTTTGTGAAATTTGAAACGCTTCACACTTCCTGAATCATAGGATTAGATTGTTGCGGAGCGCAAAAGCAACTGAAGAAAGTTTGAATGTAACCCGAGAACATTTGAACAGTTAACAGGAAAGACTAAGAGTTAATAAATCCATTTTTTTTAATTTAACGCAAATGGCCACATTTTAGTTTTCTTATATAAATTAAATGCCTACTTTAAGCACACAACAAAAGTTCTTTGAATTCAGTAAAAATGGCAGCTTTAAACTAAAAAGCGCTCGTCAGTGTACTTATAAAAAAAAATATTAAAATTAAAAATAAATAAACCAGTAGTTAATTTAAATGTTAATAACATCTGAATGAACTTCAAATTGGTAATTTAAATTTTTTGGAACAATGTAATTGATATATTATGCACAGGTGTAAATATTAAAGGTCATGATATTCTAAGGATTCTAAAATCCCATTTTCTAATTGAACACATATTATACATTGAACGAAAAGCGTTACAAAAGCAACAATTTTTATCAAACAGATTTTCAATGAGCTTTTAGGTAGAACACCAGCAAAGTGGAGGTTTAATCGATTTTCAACAAAACCTAGACGTTTGCCACCTTTTGGAAATTTTATCCGAAAAATACACTAAAATAAATTTACAAAACTATAATGTTGAGGAAGGCCGCTATAAATATTTTTAAGGTGTCATGCCACCTGTTTTCTTTTTATTCGTTTAATTAAAATAATAAAAAGTATGAAGTCGTTCATGTATGTAGTATATTAAAAACATTAACAACAGCATATAATTAATTTATCAATATTCATTTTGTCCTTTTCAAAGTGATAATGAGTTTTAAATCCAGTTACAATACATTAATGCCAACGCTTCTAGTACAACACCAACACTACTCAGTGCCCAAAGGTTTTTCGGAATCTTTAAGGCTTTTCGAGAATTATAGTTTTATCCTCTCCATGGGACGACCAATATCAGTCCCTCTATGTATTGCTGCAATTTGACGAGAAATTAATGGGGCATGATAGTAGCATTGTTTTTGTCCAAAAAGAGTAATACTTCACTTTTGTGGTAACCACACCGACTACCAAAATATTGCTAACTTAGTGATTCTGTCGTGGCACTTCCCTTCTAGTTTGCTTGCCATAACCCTATAATTAATATTCGGCAGTTATGATCGTACGAGTATAATTATTTGCTTAGAGCAAATTATTATTAAAGCCCTTTAACAGTTCCAGAGCCATGCTTATGCGATACATCTTTGAATTGTAATTTATCACTTTTGGAGCAAACTTCGCTCATCTTATTCGGAAATGCTATTTTCTTCATCTATTTTCTTAATCTATGCACATATATTTTTATAGAAAAATGTAAGGTTTGATTACAATTCTCAGGTTGGTTACTATTGTAACTAAGTCAACTTATTTAAGACGTGAATAAAATCAAGCTTAATTTAAAAATGCCTTGCTTTCACATGTGCACCAACTAAGGCCAAAATTTTAATTTATTATTCAATACATTCGCCAAAGCATACAATACAAATAACACAGCATGCATATTTTAATAGCTTATAATGTGCTGCACGCCGATTAATTGCTTTGAACAAATACGAGTGTTAATTATCTCGATGCGTGATTTTGTTTTTATTTTATTAACATCAAGCACATAATTTTTTTTTTCATATCTCGCTAATTAATCACATAAATTGCAATTCATTGCAAAATGAAAGCGATAAAAAGTAATCCAGAACAGAACGACCACATGTCCGCTTGTCACGTTTGTGAATGAGCCGAACGCTCTGCACGCATTCCGTTTCAATCCATTTGATTGATAGATAGGCAATAAAATATTTATTAAATAATTGAAATTATTATTGTGTATTGTGGCGGAATGGCGATGGAGAGCACAAGTGAAGTGGCTATTAATGCAGACAATAAATAATTAAACACATTCACTATTATTTAATGAAATGTTGAAAGGGAAATGGCCTCTTGGTTGTTAGGCATACGTACCTACATATATAGAAGGGGAAAGTTAAAGCCCGGGAAATAAAATTTCGTTAAGGTTAGATCTTTTTGGCATGACAAATATTTTTATATCAATTGAGTGAGCTGAAATTTAAATCTAACATTAAGTATGAAATTTAGAAATGAATCTACAGCAGCAACACCTATGCGGGAAGTTAAGTTGCAACAGCGCAAACACAAATGGTTTAAACGGCAAACTTGAAATTTAGGTAATAAACTCAATTATTAATTTATAAATGTTAATTTGTGAAAAATAAAACAATTAAGATGAATATTGTTAATGTTTGTATGATTTGCTTAACTCACGCTTTTAACAATAGAGATAACTAACATGTACTTTCAGTTTTTTTCATTTAATAATTTCAGTTTGACTGATATTTAATTTCTGAAATTATGATAAATTTGAAAGATGAGAGTTTTAAATTACCAACATTTCTTGTAGTCCCTAAAATATTATATATTTAGTAATAATTTAATTGTGTGTGTTTTAGCTATAAACAAAAGAATATGACTTCTCTTCACCTGCCCAACTTTTTAAAAACAGTCGACTCGCTTGTTTAGTTAATTAAAAGTCGTAGAACTACACTCTTTAAAAATATCAGTATGAGCATTAGAAGGAATTTAAAATTAAATTATATTCTTGCTCTCAAATTGATAATCTATTTAATACTTCAGATAACAAAAGCTATGCCTTAACTGTATGTAGCGATTTTCCTCTATTGCATAACTCCGTTTTGCCTTCGCTTCTGCGTATATGAAAATCACTATGTATATGTGTGTGCTGTGCAGATACATATGTACATAAAACATAAATATTGGTTTAATATTTTCCACAATAGTTTACCTCAACTCGTCGCGGTTTGTGGTTGCCAACAAGAGCAGCAACAACTAATAACCGAATCGGAACTAATATTCATGGTGAGACCACAAATTAGCTTCCACACTGCCACTGGAAAGTACAGAATGGATTTACAAATGTGAAAAGCAAAGCAGCATAAAATCCGGAAGTATGAAATTGGTGAAAAAATAAAAGGTACAACCAATGATGTTGAAAGTGGTAAGGCTTCCTTGAATTTGCTTGAAAATAATAGTTTTGTGAGTGTGTAATTAAGTTAATGACAGTGAGAGCTTTTAGTTAGCACTTCTGCTTTTAGCTACTTCAAAGGAAGCGTGTTGTGTATTAAGCTCGGTTTAGTCCTGCGACAATGTGGACTCAGTGCGATTCCCCACTGGGTATGGGTAATTGCGAATAATTGCTTTTGACGCCAACGTTCTACATTTTATCCCCTCCAAAACAACAACAAATAATTACCGGTGAATTTTCCACAAAATTTTCATTTTGTTGGCGAAACTAGTTTATGCTATATGCATTTAGTATACATGTGTTTATATTTATGTACATACCATAATAATTGTATGAGCATGTGCGTGGCGTGGGTGTGGGCACATGTGCCGTGTGTACACGCGTCGCCAAGCGTTCAAACTAATTACAAAACTAGCAAACTTTTCAATGAACTCTTTGCCACAAATAAGTGCTTTACTAATGGCAACAATTTAGTGAGTTTTATTGCTATTTTCTCGATTTTGGATTTGTGTTAATGCATTTTTGAGAAACTGAGTATTTTCTGAGATAGTGCAGAATAAAAAAATTCTGTTTAAATATTCACTTTGATAATATATTTTTGATAAATTTTTAACAAAACTTTATTTTTGTGGCTTTCATTCATGATTAATTAATTTTTAATTTCTTGTTAAAATCATAATTTATAACATTAAGTTTTAATATTAATTATTTGTATTTAAAAAATATTTATATATATATTTATATTTATGCTCATATTTGCCAGATCAATCTTAGCCTTGCTTATGCTGCGTACTACTTTTGTTCCTTAGCAGCAGAAGATGATACCGAATATTTGTTTTTTGTTTTTTCGAATATTTAAAATTTAATTACATTGCTCCAGTTTTGCGGTCGAAACTAATTTTATTACAGTTCCATAGTTAATTCTGAACAATCTCCTAACCTAAAAGCATTTATTACCATAACTTCAACTCTGCTACTATCGCAGTCACCTCCTCTGCTCGCAATTGTGTAAGTTAGTCGCAAAAAGTTTGTCACTTTCCACCCGATTGTCCATCCACCACTTTCATTGTTACGAAGCGGCTTGTTGCGCTTGCACGGTTGTTGTTTCACTTTGTCGTCGCATTTGCTGTGGAAGGAAAACTTTATCTGACATTTACAACCGGCGAGCGACATTGTTGTCCAAATATTGATTTAATTTGTTGGCAACTTTTCGTATTTACTACCAATTCTATGTAAATATTTATTCCGGCATTGTCATATCCTGTAACGGATACTTTTAGCAACGATAATAAAAGCTAGAACGCATCCCGCAATCTTTTGCTCTCTCTTTGCTACATAGTATGCCTCAGAGGTGGCAATTGGAATCCCGCCGTTTGTTGATAGTGTGTACATGCATGTATGTATGTGTGAGTATTTCACCTTTCTACA